CTGGATTACTTTTCTCACATGGTTCAGTCGGCAGTATTTTAACTTCTGAGTTGCAAGTTTCCAGCTTCCTATCTCATTCCAGGGCTAAAGCATAAGTAAAGGCAGTGAAATAAAGAAGTGGAGTACTCATCAATAAAACACTGAGTGTGAAGGGTTAGTGCAGCTTCATAGACGAGATACAACCATTTTGAACAATGAGCAGCACGTTCCCTGTCCTTAGCTACATCCCATTCAAACAGCCTCTCTAAATTTCCACAATTCCACCCCCAATGCCCACACCAGACCTGTATCTTGTCATTGTCGAACATCACATGCAGGAAAGCACTTAGACAATTTCAAATGATTTTGTTTTTATTTACAGGCCTCAAAAGTGAAACATAAACAAAACTAATAAAGGCTGTGATTCACCCCCAAAAAGCCAACCAAATGCCAGCATTATAACCAACAACTATTTTATATTCTACGATGGTCTGCTGCTCCCAGCTCTCATCAAATACCAATGTAAGTGGACAAAGGGTGCATGTGGCTATGTCCATGCATCATGCTCTACTTGGTGCTGAACAACATGGAGACTTTAGACAGCGAGCTGCAAGGTTAAGTCGTCAGATATCTGACTTCCACGTCAAGGTTTGTTAACATTGAGCTTGTTCAGCATGTCGTAATATAGGAAGCGGAATATTAATGAGGTGAGTTGCAGCATTAATAAGGAATTTAACAAGCTATTATCCCTTTAATTGGCAACGTGCTAATATTTGGTAAGAAAGTCACCTCATCGGCCCGCAAATTCGCAAACGATGTCGCAAATTGCTCAAAACATCGAGACAGGCCGCACCAGATTTCTCCCCGGATTCCGCCACCAATCTCGCCATAGCTCACACCGGTCAGACTGCTAAAACATTCCACCTCATGACACTAGCTCAAAGAATAGCAGGATTGTTTTCCCTGGTGACCTGCCAGCATTTTTAAAAAATGTTTTGCTAGCAAGTTGTTAGTAATGTTCAACCCAGGGGAATAAGCATAGCTACTTGAAATATTTCACAAATTTTACTCGTGATGAGAACTAATGCAGAAAGCATTACAGATAATATTGGACTTTGAAGGATCAAGTGTTAATAGTTTCATGGCTAAATTATGAAACATTAATGAGGAGACTGGATACTTCGAGGCAATTACTGTAAAAATAAAATCATGGCCCTTGGGGAAAAGTAAGCAGCTTTCTACAAAATGTGTTCATTTCAGCAAAAAATTGTGACAGATTTAGCCTCTAAAAATGAGGGTATGACAGATTGGTCACAACAGATTAGGACACAGCTACGCAAATGCAGCAGCTAAGCAGCTGTTCATAAATATTGAAACAATTTGACAAAATGAGAGGTACAACACAAAGACTGGAACATGGTTAATGTTTTAAGATGGCTTATCTGGCAACAGCAGTAGTAAAATCATCTGAACATTTATTAGGGACATAGTCCAAAAATCAAAGAAGAGATTAATGAGCAACAAGGATTCTGAACTGAAAAACTGAGTTATCAATTAATTTGGCTTTGAGAACATGTCTAATAGGTGGATAAATAATTCCCACCTCATATATCACAACATAATTAAAAAATAAATCTCTTTGAATAAAATGGTACTGCACATCTTTACTGTCCAACATCTTAAGGTGAGTTTCTGTTTTCTCTATGAGACTTATGAAAATATTTAACATCCTCAACATTTCTCCTGTACGTATTGTTACCAAAATAAAACAAACGTTCTTGGGAATTATTCTTGGACCCTCCCTCCAGACTTGAAAAATGCAATTTTTTTTCAACAGACTTGTCACTATTCATATGAATAATTTAATTATTCAACTCCTAGTATAAACATAAATAACAAAAGGGTAGCTGGCACAGCCTTTGGAAAAAAAATTACATTGTGATAAAAGCTGCTCCAATTCACTTCCCACTACCATGTATACTCCTCAACTGTATTGATATTCTGCTGCTTAGTGTACCTATTTATTCCAGTTACAGACAATTTAACATAGTGTGTGCTTGTATACTTGTTTTCAAACTGGACTCAGAAGAAAGTGAGGTCATGTTTTACCTTGCCTTTTTTTTATACAAAATAAATGCTTTACAGGTTTCTCCGGGGGTTTTCATTGCAAGTACATTTTCCATTAAAAGAACATTTGCTGTTTATTGTTTAATAAAAATAATCATTAACCCAATTACCTGCAAAAAATTTGTACACAATAATTGATCTTACATGACACAAACGCAAACTGATAACACAGCACGGCTTGGTCAGCTGAAAATATTCTTAATAGCAAGTACAGTTGTATTATCATGAGGAGTAATTAATCAATATTCAGTTTGACCATGGGACTTGGGAGGAGATCGAGATCCAACAGTGCTTAGGTGGGATTTTAGGTGGAAATTTCTGCCTCCCTGGAAGTGGTGAGAGTGGTGGCAAACAGGGGAAATAACTGGGTAAGTCAGTCCTGGAGAGATATTTGGTGAATTGGTGAATTGGTGAGTAGCAGATAATGTACTGAGCAAGAAAGTCCACTGGGGGCTTTCTTGTGATATCAACAATAAAAGAGGAGACGGTTCGGTATATTCCCACAAAGGGAAAGATAGGGAAAATAAATCCACAGCTCTCCAGTTGACAAAGGTGACAGAGATCGAGATGAAATAAAGTTAAAATGAGCTTATGATAAATGTTGATTAGAAAGTACAATTGAGCAGCAACATATAGAGGCAAAGCGGCCAACATAAAGTGTAATCCTAAAGTCATCTACTGACATACAAATATAGGGCTGGTAAAAGGAGGACTAGGGCTGATTACAGAATAAAAAGGGGAAGTGGGAGCATAGCTGAGATATTAAATTAATACTTTGCACCTGTCTTCACTGAGGATGGAGCTGCTACCCAGACCAAGATGACAGAAGAGAAAACTCTTGTCACTCCAACGGTTCAAAATTGATAAGGAAGTAGTATTGGCTAGGTTGTTTTGCACTTAAAGTTGACAAGGCACCAGGATCAGGTGAGATATATCTGAGGAAACTAAAGGATCTGAAAGTGGAAATTGCAGGGGCACTGGCCAAAATCTTTCCATCTCCCTTGGACTCATGGGAGGTGATAGAAGACTAGAGAGTTGCAAACATCACATGCTTGTTCAAAGAAGGTTGTAAGGATAAGTCCAGCAATCAAAGACCAGTCAGTTTGACGTCAGGAAAATTGACAGATGACATGAAACTTTGAAGCATTGTAAACTCTAAGGGGGATACTGTACAACTTCAGAAAGACTTAGACAAGTTGGCATAGTGGGCTGACAGGTATCAGATGATGTTTAATGCAGAAAAGTATGAGGTGATACATTTTGTTAGGAAGAACACTGAAAGGCAATATAAATTAAGGAGTACAATTTATAGGGGTGCAGGAGCAGAGGGGCCTTAGTGTATTTGTACACAGATCTTTGAAGGTGACTGGATAGATGGAAAGAGCAGTTAATAAAGCATACAGTATCATGTGCTTTATTACTAGGGCATAGAGTACAAGAGCAAGATGATGTTGCTGAGCTTGGACAAGGAACTTGTTAGAATTCAGCTGGAGTATTGTGCAAAGTTCTGGACTCCACATTACAGGAAGGATATGAACACATTGAAGTTTCTTATCCCTGAAACCAGAGGATGGATCAGACAGGTTAGGATGCTATCTGCAAGTAAAACTGTTAAGGCTTTGGTTTTCAGATTCTCCAGCTGTATGGGGAAAATAATATAATATAATACCCTGTTCCCACTTTCTCCCCACACACTTTGACCCCTTTAACACTAAGAACTATATCTAACTCCTTTCAGAAAAAATTCAATGTTTTGGCCTTGACACTTAGTGGCAGAGAATCACACAGACTCACCATCCTCTGAGTGAAGAGATTTCTCCTCATTTCAGTCCTAAATGGCCAACCTCATACCCTTAGACCGTGACCCCTGGTTCCAGACACCCCGTCATCGGAAGCATCCTTCCTGTCTGAGAGTCCTTTTGGAATTTTATAGCTTTCTATGAAATCTCCCTCAATCTTTTAAACTCCGGTGAATACGATCTTCAGAGATCTAGTCCTCTTCATTCATTAATCCTACCATCACAGGAATCAGTCTGGTAAACCTTCATTGCACTCCCTCCACGGTCAGAATATCTTTCCACAGGTAAGGAGTCCAAAACTGCACACAGTATCCAAGTGTGATCTCACCAAGGCCCTGTCCCATTGCAGCAAGATTTACCTGCTCCTGTACTCAAATCCTCTCACTATGAAGGGCGACATACCATCTACCTTCTTCATCAGCTGCATGTTTGCTTACAGCAACTGGTATACACGGGTTACACTCCATATCCCCCTTTCCTGATCTATTGCCTTTCAGAAATTAACTTGCCTTCCTGTTTTTGCTATCAAAGTTAACCTCATATTTATTCACATTATATTGCATCTGCCACACATTTGCCCGCTCACACAACTTGTCTAAATCACACGGAAACATCTCTGCAATCTGCTCACAGTTCACCCTCCCACCCAGCTCTGTATCACCTGCAAATTTGGAGATATTACATTTAGTTCCCTTACCTAAATCAGGAATAGATATTGTGAATAGTTGGGTCTAAGCACTGATCCTTGCAGTGCCCTATCAGTCACTGGCAGCAACTCAAAAAGACCCATTTATTCCTACTCAGTTTCTTCTCTACCAACTAGTTCTCTATTCATGTCAGTACATGCAGGTGACTACATTCCCCCCAATCCCATGTAATTTTACATGCTAACTTCTTGTGTGGCACCTTATTTGAAATGAATAAAGCATTTTAAAAGGTAATTTCCAAATACACTTCAAATAAATTTAGTAGTTAATCATTAACTCTTTACTTAAAATACTGAACTAACATTCACAGAAATTTTTTGTAGTTAACAAGAACATTGTTTTTTGTAGTCAAGTTAGCAATAGCAATAAAGACAAGAAATTCACCTACCTTTTTTCCTACTGAAAGCCCGATTCATGATGAAAAGTATTCAGCTGAAACAGTAGCAGTATTCCAGCAATTTTTATCTGAAAATGACAAACAGGCATAAGATCATATAGTACTTCTGTGATGATTACAGTCTCAGGCAGATAATTAGATATCAAGTGCTATAATCTTTCTCAACTCTGTAACAAACCAGCAGCTTAATAATTCATTATGGTTGTAATAAAGCGATTTTCAATAATAAAGACCGTCCTCGAAAAATATTCATTAATGATTTGTGCAGGTTTGGGGAAAATAAAAGCTCAGGTTTATTTTCTTTCATTCATGGAATATGTGCATTGATAACCAGACCAGCATTTATTGCCCATCCCCAAGTGCCCTTGAGAAGGTGATGGTGATCCCCTGGAGCCACATGGTGTTGGTATACCCATTCATTCTGTTAGAGCTAGGATTTTGACCCAGTTGACAGTGAAGTAGCAATAACAAGTCAAGATAGTGTGGGGCTTACAGGGGATGACATTCACATGTATCTGCTGCCCTCGTTCTTCTCAGTGGTAGAGGTTGTTGGGATTGTAAGGCACTGTCAAAGGAAGCTTGGCAAGTTGTTGCAATGAATCTTTTAGAAGCTACACATTGCCAGCAATGTACCAGGGGTAGCAGAGAGACTGAATGTTTGAGGTGACAGTTGGGGTGCCAATCAAAAGGACTACTGTGCTCCAGAGCTTCTCAAGTGTTGTCTGAGTTTAACTGTTCCAGGCAAGTGGAGAGTATTTCATTACACTCCTGACCTGTGTCTTATGATGGTGTGCAGGCGTTAGAGAGTCAGGTGCTGAGTTACTTGCCACAGAAACAATTTCCAGTCTCTGACCTGCTATTGTAGCCATCATATTTACATGACTGGTCCAGTTAAGTGTTTTGTCAGTGGTAACGCCCAGGATATTGATAGAGGAGAATTCAGTGATGGTAATACTATTGAATGTCAAAGGAAGGCTGTTAGGTTCTCTCTGCTTGGAGATGGTCATTGCATGGTACTGCTGGCATGAATGTTTCTAGCCACTTATCAGCCCAACCCTAAATATTGTCCAGGTCCTGCTGCACTTGGACATAGACTGCTTCATATTCTGAGGAGTTGCGAATGGTGCTAAACGTTACATAATCAATGAACTTCTTCACTTTGGCTTTATGATGGAAAGGTGGTCATTGATGACAGTTGAATTGGGTTGTGCCCCAAGGAACTCCTGTAGATATGACCTGGATCTGAGATGCTTAGGCTCCAACATCTAGAATCATCCTCTTTTGTGCTCGGTCTGACTCTTGCCAGTATAAAGGCATCCCTTGATTCCCACTGACTTCAATTTTGTTAGAGGTCCTTTATGTAACCCTCAGTCAACTTTTGTCTTGATGTCAATGTCTGTCACTTTCACCGCACCTTTTCAACAATATATCACCAAGTAGCTGACAGTTACCTCCTGCACTAAATCATCAATATTTTTTTCAAATCATTGATTTGCTCAACAGTATATTAGTTACGTACAGTAAGAAATAAACACATCAGTGCAGCCAACATTGAATGGAATATTTTAAAATTACAATTCAACCATTGAGCTTTAAGATATAACTGTAGTTTAATTTAAGATCATTGTACAAGAATAAACATCTGGCTTGCATCTAACAAAATATATATTTTTTAATCTTCTACTGCTCCTTTAAACTCACCCTAAAACCCAATTCTTAAGCCAAATGTTTGATCACCCCTCATGATCTGTTCCTCTCTGGCTCGGCATCTAATTTCCTCTTGCGTCTAAAATTACTGCTGTAAGGCACTTTACAATGTTGAAGTAACTATACAATTAAAAGGTTACACCAGTAGCAAAAGAAGAACAAATTCCTCTTTGAAAGTTGCTGTTTCAATTGCTCCCAGCACCAGTGTGAGGTAATGCAATCCAGATCATTATAATTTGCTGCATAAAGAATGCTGTCATTTCCCCCTGGATTTTTTTTTCCACCAATTATCTTAAATGTCTGTCTCCTCTGGTTAATGCTTCTCTTGCCTGGAGAAACAGTTGCCTTCCCCAGATCCCAGCGGCACATGTACTGGCTTAAAAAAAATCTCAAAAAATGAAACACCTCTTGCAATTCTTCCCTTAACCCCCACTGTTGTGAAAAGGAATTTATTTAAGGTTTAGAGTCATTTTAATCATGCATATAATTTGCTAGGACCGAAGTTCCGGAAGAAGTGAGCAATTCTTTGAACATTATGTTTTAGAATTAGCCAAATGATAACCTGTAATGATCTCCAGAATAATGTTGCTTTTAAATATAACCTAAATGGAAGTAAATTTAATGCCCATTGAATGAACATGAATTGAACATGAACCTCTCACTCTACATTCTAATATTAATTTATTGGTGAGAATGATTTAGTTATTACAAAGTCCATTCATACTTGTATTTAAAATGTTAAGAAAGGTTTCTGTAGTGTACACAAAAATGTCTTGCTATGGGCGAAAATTTTTTTGGATGAAGCATTACTTCTAAGTAAGGTTTAACAGAATAAATAGCTTTTTTCAAAACCTGTTTTGAATATTTCAGTCATTTAAAACTTGTAAAAGTGAGGGTACTGCACTCCATGTTGAAGCACCATTCAGTAAGACCAGAGTGGAGAGATGCCAATCTTTAGGGGGACATTGCAGACCGCCATGTGCAAGCAGCCCCTCCAAGAAACAGTACAATGGCACAAGAAAAATACCCCTGCAAGGCAAAGATGTCACTGGGGATGCAAACATGAAGAGGACTTGGGAGTGAGAAAACAAAAATGAGTGGCCTCAACTTAGGACCAAGAAGACCAAGACTTCAGGGTGCCAGTCTTGAAAACAATGATTAATGAAGAGGAGTTAATCACAAGGGTAGACAGTGCAGACACTTACCTACTCATTGTTGAAATAAGGATAAGTGAACATAATCCACGATCTACACATGTCATGTATTACAAGGAACTATTCACAAACTGTAGAACACCATGCAGACAATGACATTTGAGGTGACTGTTTGGGCATCAAGACGCTAGGAACAGCACCTAAGAACATTGGTGGTTTTTATAATGACAGATCGTTTCACAGATGATTTCAGCAAGTCAATATGATAGGATTTTCAAGATTTAAAGGTGTCTGTCTATGAAGGCACCAGCTAGTTACTTTCTTCTATCCTGGAGCCTTCACTAATGAACTAGAAGGAGTGCACATAGGTACTTTTATCTCTCTGAAGAACGGAAGTGATAATAAAATTCATCCCTAAAGGGAATCTAGTCTAGAATAGTAGGTAACGCTGGATGGAACAAAGTGAAAATGTTGAGAGGTGGTAATGATAGTGACTGTCAACAATTCATCATCAACTCCCCTCCCCAACCTTCCAAAATCCAGGTCCAAGTTTTGGGAGGGGCTTTTAATATGTCCAATAATTCATTGATTAGCATTGAACCCATCTAAACAAAAACAGATCTACAGCATACTTCAGTATTGGAACTCTTACTCAGCATTCAATTGTATAGGAAATGCCTATCTGTACATTTATGCTTTAAAAAAGGCTGAATCTTATAGTATTTCAGCTAAGTTGCAATCTCGCAGAATTTCACGAATGGTTTGTCTCTATCAGGCAGATTCCAATTACTTGCCATATCATCCCAAACTCATTGCGTTAACTATCTATCATGGACCTATGGTGCTCCTCTCGTCTAATACTAGCTGAGTTCTATTATCTCACTTTACCCAGAAGAACTAGCTAGTGTAGGATCTCTCAGAATAGACTGGCAACCTGGACGTCCACACTATTTTTAATAGGCTATTGTGAATCCAGACAAGCACCATCAGGCTGGAGTTGCCCTTCATGGTTTGGTGACATTTGGCCCAGATATGGCAAATCTGGGCATATTTGCATCCCAATTTGTAGATGGGCAACTGGAGCTCATAATGGATGGTATGGAACATGGTCTTCCCTCATGACATGTGGATGATGCTGTACCATCTGATGCTGGCACCCTGGGTCATTGTGGTCTCAGCTGTCTGTGGGAATGCCCAGCAGTGAAGGAAGAAAATCAACAACTGACAGTGCTGAGATTATCACATAAAATTAACTCGCATAAGGTAAGGGGTTGTGCCACCCATTTTCATCTCAATCAATCCCTTCATCTCTCTCATTCCAAAATAAAACAGTTCAAAAATGGAACACAAAGAGCCAAGATGTGTGGCATGCTGCCCAACATTCAGCTGCTCACTTATTACCAAGAGATGATCCTGACCATAACCACCCAAAATGGCCAACTGACCATGCCCACGCGTCTGGACTGATATTGGAGGATACCCTTGACCTACTGCACCAGGAACCACTGACTGAAGTCTATCTCCCTTGACTTGACTGAGGTCTGCTGACAATAGGAAAGCATCCTGGCTTCGTGTCAGCGCCAGACAGAAGTAAGGTGAGCGAGATTGCTCTGGTCTTGGGCGTGCAAAGGCAGGGATACTGTGAGCTTCCAGATACATTCACGGTGAATGAGTGCTGAGACAGCAAGTGAATAGCCGAGATAGAACTTGGTCCAACCTGTCAGCAAGGTGCCTGTCCCTGTGCGTAAAGTCTCCTTGTTGGAGCATATCTATTCTAATTGCTGGCAGGTGCCAGAGTGCAGCGCAAGTGGATCCTGTAATGGATATTAAAAGGTGCCATTAGGGTCTCAAGAGGCTGGCAGGTGTAAGAAGCCAGTGTAGCCAATGTGGCAGCCTAGAGAAAGAAGCAACAAGCTATAGTCACCAGGTACCTGGTCTGACTTTCATTTTGAAATTGTTGACATCTTGTTACCTCATGCAGGTAGTAGAATAGTAAACTGCACATTAATGAGGCAAAATATTCAGTTACTGAGGCTGACAACAAGTAATGATAATGATCCCTACACATAGGCAACCCATTGGTGCCTAGCACGAATTTGGTCTTGATGTCCAGTACTCTGTTTGAAAATGCAACAAATTGCTCCAAATGTTGAGAAAGGCCTTATTTGACTTCTCACGATTCTCCTACATTTCATGCCATAGCCCAT